CCTCCAACCTACTAGCGATGGACTCCAACCTACTAGCGATGGCCTCCAACTTACTAGCAATGGCCTCCAACCTACTAGCAAAGGCCTCCAACTAGCGATGGCCTCCGACCTCCTCTAACGGCCTCCAGCCTACTAGCGATGGCCTCCAACTTACTAGCAATGGCCTCCAACCTATTAGCCACGGCCTCCAACCTACTAGCCACATCCTCCAACCTACAAGCGATGGACTCCAACCTAATAGCAATGGCATCCAACTTACTAGCAATGGCCATGGACTCCAACCTACTAGGATGGCCTCCAACTTACTAGCAATGGCCTCCAACCTACCAGCGATGGACTCCAACCTACTAGCGATGGCCTCCAACCTACTAGCAATGGCCTCCAAGCTACTAGCGATGGACTCCAACTCCAACCTACTAGCGATGGCCTCCAACTGACTAGAAATCGACTCCAATCTACTCGGGATGGCCTCCAACCTACTAGCGATGGCCTCCAACCTACTAGCGATGGACTCCAACCTACTAGCCACGGCCTCCAACCTACTAGCTATGGACTCCAACCTACTAGCGATGGCCTCCAACCTACTCGGGATGGCCTCCAACCCACTAGCGATGGCCTCCAACCTACTAGCAATGGCCTCCAAGCTACTAGCGATGGGTCCAACCTACTAGCAATGGTCTCCAACCTATGCGATCGACTCCAACCTACTAGCCACGGCCTCCAACCTACTAGCTATGGACTCCAACCTACTAGCGATGGCCTCCAACCTACTCGGGATGGCCTCCAACCTACTAGCGATGGCCTCCAACCTACTAGCAATGGCCTCCAAGCTACTAGCGATGGGTCCAACCTACTAGCAATGGCCTCCAACCTACTAGCGATGGACTCCAACTCCAACCTACTAGCGATGGCCTCCGACTGACTAGCAATCGCCTCCAACCTACTCGGGATGGCCTCCAACCTACTAGCGATGGACTCCAACCTACTAGCAATGGCCGCCAGCAGGTGAGTTTGTATTGGTAGGGCATGACTTAAAATTAGAAGGGCGTCCATGCGTTTCACCACAAAGACTAGCCCAGTCTCATCCGACGAGATCTTGGGAGTTGATGGTGGGAACTTAAGCTTCGACCGTCGTCCACAATCGCTTTTTTGGACGAAGCGATACCCGTCGTGATTAGGTTGGAGGCCATTCCTATTATATAGGTTGGAGGCCATTGCTACTGGCTACTGGGGTGGAGGCCACGATGCGTGCGGACGTTCGCGGAACTGCGGCGGACGGAAAGGTGCAACAGCGGCGCACACCTTCAGTCGTCTCGCAGGCTCGGAGCATGTGAGGAGAAGCGGAAGTAACTGCCATATAGGTTGACAGCAAGTTGGAATCTGAAAAGGTCTAGAAAGGATTCTTTGTTTGTTTAATGAATGAGTAATATAAGTTACTGCATATACAAGTAATTGATGTAGGTCCTCATGGGGTGTGTCCGCTTTTTCTAGCCTTCGAACGTCCCTTCTTCCTCTTTGTGGATGGACTTGCAAAAAGAACGTCGACTGCGAGCTTCAGGGAGGTCACCGTGTCACTGGAAAGAAGGTACCAGACCGTTTTGGATCCATCATCATCCACTAAAAATACGCCCGTTGCATGCTCCATTTAAAAACGACTGGTTTTGCAGACCCACCCATGTTTGTGCTCAGCGGTATACTCAGATGTGCAGAGACATCCACTGCCGCAACTTTCCCAGTGTCACTGCTGAAATAGCCACTCTTCATTGTGTTCTGCGTGAATTTAACATCCCAAGTGCAACGATGTTCTGAGATCGACGATGTGTAGAAGAAGCTGTCTAAGCGTGTTTGCTAAGTATTTCATTGCTGCAGGTTTGGTCTCTCTCTACCTCTCTCTCCCTTTGCACCCGACCCTAGTAGCGATGGCCCTGGTAGCGTTTTTGCTCCTAGTAGTAAGGCCAGGAGCCCCTAGTAGCTTCTTGTTACTAATAGCGATGGCCTCCAAGCTAAGTGCGAATCTTCACATGTTTGCACCTCAGGATGTTCCTAGTAGCGAACCTTGTTACTACTAGCGTGGCACTTGTTACTAGTAGCTTCTTGCACCTCAGGATGTTTCGATTGGCGAACTCCAGAGGTTGAGAGGGAAGGTGGAGGCACGGTCGCTCGCGACCGCCTCTGCCGAATCGCGTCCGGCGCGTCCGAATCGCCG